ACCACATGCCAGCCAGCCCCGCCCCCTGGTGGGCTGAGCTGGCCACACACACACACACACACACACACACACATAAATAAATAAAAAAAAAAATTAAAAAAAAAAAGTGAACCTTCTTCCTTAAACAAATACTCTGAGGAATATGTCCATTGCTGAGGACATAGTCACCAACAAGACAGGATCAAATCTCCCTCCTGCAAACTTCCATCCTAGTCAACCAATGGGGGGATCTAGATGTGTGTGCAAATTTCAGACACCCAACAGCACCACAGAGAGGGAAAAAAAGCAAGATGATTTATTGACTATTTTAAATAGGATTCTGGGGAGTTTAGCAAACAGAGGAATTTTTTTTTTTAATTTATTAGTATATTTTCCCATCCCATTGTCTGTTTCAGGGCAGAAAATAAAAAGGGGTGTGCAGGAGATCTGAAACAAAGTTTATCTGGCTCACTGGGGGTGTTCTAGATTCCTGATAGTAGCTCCAGGCTGTTCTGGAAGCCACCTGTTTGGGCCAAAATCAGCCCCCTATTCTTCATTTGGTTTTCTTCCCCCTTGAGAACAACCAAGACCAGCTATGTAATTTTCACAGCACAGTAAGAAATGAAAACGTGGAGTCCTTGGTTTAATCTCATTAAAAATTTCAAGAGGGTGACAGAGTATTAAAGCAAGGGGACCTGAGTCCATACACAAGTGTCACAAACATGAAATCAGCCCATGTACAACAAACTCAGAAAGTGTGCAAGCTCCTGCCCCCTCTGGCGCCCTAAGAAGCATCTCTCCAGCCATGCCCCCACACCTTTTCTTTTCCATTTTGAGGTCCAGCATGGGGGATGGAAACAGTGCACAAGAGGCTAAAAATACAGCTGAGTGTGTCTAGGTCATGGCACTTAAGGACTCAAGGTCTTTTGCTCAGTTATGTGGTCCTGGCCTCTGGCAGGGAGTAGCCTGAGATATTCATTTCAATGCTTCACATGCCTGGGGCATTTAGCAGCTCTATTTCATGGAAAGAGTGAGGACACTGACTGTGGCCCCTCGGCCTCCAAGAAGATGTCAGTGTTTGCTTGCCTACTTGTACTTTCTAGTCAGGTCCTCAGTGGGTAGCAAGGTTTGCCAAGAATGGGGGGGGGGACCCTGAATAGTTGGACTTTGGGTTAGTCTATGTCCTTGAAAATCCAGCTGGGATGACTTCTGCTCAAAGGACAGTTGTGTCATGGAGAGACCACTGGAGTAAGGAGTCTGTTTATAACAATAGCAAATATCTAATGGAGATATTATTAAGTATTGCAGTATGTACAGTCCTATTCCACATAATCCCCCCGTAGCCTTATGAAGGAGGTACCCTTGCCATGCACCCCCAACACGAGGTTAAATGACTTGCTCAAAGGTCACATAGGGGTGGGACTAGGCTTTGAGCTCAAGCAGTGGGATTCCAGGGCTATGCTTTTAAGCACTGTGCTACTTGGCCTCCTTATAGCCATAAGGTTCTATCACTGTGTGGGCTGGGACTAGGGTGGGACAAAGAAGAAACCAGCTAAAAATTTAAGGGAACTTAAATATGAACACAGTAAAAAAAAAAAAAAAAAAAGCCAAAACACAACAAAAAATCACTGTTACCATAAATATTATTTAATAAATAGTATGTACATCTAATAAATATATAATAAGCATTTAATGCAATATTTTTAAAAACATAAATGAAACCAAAAATCTACAGTGAACAATAGATCAACTTTTTTTTCAGTGTTAGGAATTGAACCCAGGGTCTCACACATGCTACCCCAGTGCTGTACCACTGAGCTATTCTCCAGCCCATTTTCAACATTTTGAATAAAGATAGGATCTGTAGTCCTGATTTTCCTTTAGATTCAGGTTTGATCTGACACAAAATGCTTACTGATCCTGTCTCCCAGGTTTCTGACTAAGGCATCTAGTGATGGAAACTTTGAGAGAAGTCATAATTTGCTTGTTTGATGTGGATGAGAGAAAGAATCTGGTCTTGAGTATAATGAATGAGAAGTATCTGCGGAGTGTCCCAGTTGGACAGGTTTGGGTTGGAAATGGGAGTCATCTGCATTCAAGCTCAGATGACAAATGGTGGAAGGACAAACAGACATCATTCTTGGCCCATGATTGGTGCATAATCCCCACATGTGGTCTAAATCAGTGACCTTCAAAGTTTACATCATACTTCAGGAATTTTTGAAATTCTCTCTCCAAAATTTTTCTTTTCTACATCATGAGCCTGAGATATGTTCTCATGGGGGCATGGAAGTTTACTGCTTGGGTGTTAAAATAAAAACATCTGAGGAAATGAGAAATAACAATTTCACAACTATTCCATAAAGGAGGAAAGATAAGAATTCATATAAATGGATTCAATATCTTCTTGATTAGCTGATTCTCCAGAAAGAGTATAGGAGCACAGACTAAACAGAACAAATGAAAGAAAAAAGGAAGATTATAGGAGCTAAAAATACTAGGAGGAAAAGTTTGGCTAAGCATCAAAGAGGGGCATAAGTGTTTCCAAATAGAAGTGTTGGTTTAGATATATCAGGAAGCACAACTCCAAATGATGGGTGGAAAATAAAGGTTATCAGATTGAAATAAGCAAGAATACAACAAAAAGCTTCATAGGAACATCAAACTGAGGAAAAGGCCTTTCTTCAATATAGCAATCCAACTACCTCAACCTTACAAATTGGTACCAAGGATGGAAACTCTTACCACGGTTTCAGGTCCCTGGGCCATGTGGTCTCTCCAGCCTGAATTTATAATTCTTAACAACCTTTGAGGGAACACTCTTGCTAATGTCTAGCTACTTCCTTATTGTATCTTCAAGTGTCTGCTTCCTTTTCCATCTAACGAAACATGAACTGTTCTGGAACATTCCCACAGCCAAACAGGAAATGTAGCTCCTGCCCATCTACCACTTCAGTGAAGTCAATCAGCCTCACACATCTGTAGTGAAAATGGATCATGAGAAAAGAGATGCTATGATACCTAAGGCAGATCAGAAACATTCCCAACCTTCAAGGGGCTCATTGCTTGGCTTCATAAGACTGAATGACTTGAGACAAAGGTAATATCAAATGTTGGATTAAGTCACTATGACCATTGGCAGTTGGGGTTAGTGAAAGGGTTAGACAAGTGGAATAGACCACAATATTAATAACAACAGCATCTATTTTCCGCAGATACTTCCCTAAAATCAATCTGGGTCACCTCAAGGGGAGAAAGCTGACTTTTTTCTTTTCCTATCCTAGTACAAGAATATTATTTATTAGGTGCTACCTATGCATCAGAAGTCATGCCAAGTGCTTCACTCCATTCTCACCATAACCACTGGATATTGCCATCCCTGTTTCACAGATGAGAAAATTGAGGTTGTTTGCCCAAGGAGGGGAACTGCCTCAGCAGTCTGGACAGACCAGTGGGCTAGCCCTGTGCCAGGCTCTTCCATTCCAAAATATGGAGTCTGACAGGCTAGAATAGCAGTGGTGGAAGTGATGGAAGCATAGATGAGAAAACTGAGGTTGAGAAATGGGTCTGGGATGCCATCTTGAACAGAGCAACTCCTGAGTCCAGAGAGTCTCAAGGTAAAGATAGGACCAGAGCAAGAAAGGGTGTGTGGATGGATAGGCCAAACAGAGGGGAGAAAAACCCTCACAGTGATAACTGTGAATGTTTCAGAGCAAGGGTTGTCAGATTTTTGTTGAGTCCAGACTTCAATGATTACAAAGTGTAGGACCTGCACCAGGGTTCTTAAGCAGCTGTGCCTCTTTTTCTTCATCTATAATATTGGGATGGCAACAGTACTCACACTCATGACTGTAGGCAACATTTCATGATACAATATAACATTCCTAGAACATTGTCTGCCTTCATAAGCATTGAATAAAAAAACTAACTTTCTCAACATTGGAAAAATAGCACAAGTAAATTTCCTCCCAGAATTGGTTCTAAGGATGGTGAAGGTCATATAGAGGATATAGTCCAATGAAGTAAATTACATGGAATGGAGAGAAGGCAGAATTTGATCAGATTTGAAGATTTAATAAGAATGCTGCCCATGTAAACATGTTGGTGTCAAAAGGAAATGCAAAGTGCTCTTCAGAATCACAGCTGTGTCACTTGGTATTAAATAAAAAACAAGCAAGTAGGTATGATGGATGAGGGTCTGGATGGAAGGAGAAAGTGCCAGAAAGCCAAACTCAAGACGGGAAAAGAAGCTGGGCATCACGGCACACCTGAAATCCCAGAATTCTAGGAGGTTGAGGTAGGAGGATCACAAGATTGAGCCACTCTAGGCAATTTAGTGGCTTAGTGAAACCCTGTCTCAAAAAAAAAAAAGGAAGGGAAGGAAAAGAAAGGTAGGAAGAGAGGAGGATGGAGGTTAAAGATGGAGGGGGGAAAGAAGGAAAGGAGGCAGAGAGGGAGGGAAGGAAAAAGGAAGGAAAGTGGGGGCGCAAAAACTAAAACCCAAACAAGATTGCGAAAGAGAAGCAGAAGAGCTACTCCAGTGATAACTTTTCAGCTTCGCACTTGCCTTCTGTATCTGTTGGGCAGAAATTTAAATGCAGATGAAAATTTTCAGGAGGCCCAAGAGCATGCTGCTACCTCTCTAAGATTCACTGGCCCTGAGAAGATGCTCGCCCGCCTGCCTAGTCTCCAGACATTTGCAAACCCTTCCCAAAGACAAGCCTTTTCCAAAGCCCTGCTCTAAGACTGACCCACCTCTTGGGAGGTGAAGCCAGGATTTGCCACTGAATGAGCACCATTGTCCTCCCAAGTGTCTGTGGGTCCAGATGCTGTTGGTCTGAAGGTGGTTCTACCACAGCCTGTGGTGTGGTCTGCCTGTAAGCTTTGATTCACTCCAGGGATAACACTCAGAAATTCAAACAGGCAACACATGCGATTCCAGGCATCCCTGCCAGACTCATACTCGGTTTTTCCATCATTTCACTCTCCTCTCCTTTGGCATTTTGCATATGAAAAATCAAAACCACCAATAGGACCAGCACCTGATAAGAAGCAGGGCATTGCCCAAGAGTTCCCAAGAAGAGATGTCTTTGTTCTCCTTTCAAGCTCTTGACACCACTAATGGCTCTAATTACTGCATTTTGCCATGGGATGTAAAATAAAACCACATTCCAGAAATCATGTAGTCTCCTTGGTAGAGACACACAGGGAGAGGTGCCCAGGATGATAGAAACGTGTTCTTTCATTTCTGGTCCCTGACCTTGGCAGCTCTTGTAAGAATTTAACAGTACCTTCTTTATGTGCATGGAGGAATGATGCTTTTGCACATGTAGTGATGCATCTCACTACCTGTACCCACAAATCTGGGCTGTGTATTTGACATTTCATACAAAGCATGTTTCTTAAGAGCATTAGGATCTTTACTCAAGCCACTCTGCAGGAAGTGAAGACTTTAGAAGTTCCTAAGGCTATGAGTACAACAAAACAGAACTTCTTTCTACATAATTTAACTGTAAAATCTGATGATGTAACACCCACCTACACCTACCTCACAAACCAAAGTGACATCACAAACACTAGAGATAATGGCTCAAAAATGTCTCCATATGAGCCAAAATCTAAACAGCAATTTGCCTGTACATGACTGAGGCAGAGAAAGACAGGTGACTAGAAATATTAAAACAAAAAGGAGAAAGGAAGTATGTATCTTTCTGCTGCTAAGATGGCTAAAATAAAATTTAAGGCAGCTGAAATATAAGGTGATTATATTTTATATAGATCACATTTCTTAAAAAGCCAGGTCTCTTTAAGTATGTGATTGTAACCTATCCAAATTGTTTTCTTGTCCTTAGTTAGTCCCAAGAAGTGGAGACAAGAATAATTTAGGCTGTATTTTTACCTTTATGGATCCCAGTATATTTCTCTCTTTAATGGCTTTTCCTGGCTTAGGGCAGTGTGGTTGGAAGGTGTGTTCAGGGTTTGGCAGGACTTACCTGCTGTCATTGCTATTGCAGTGTAAATGAGTTGTGACAACTTACAGAGGGGTATTCTGTGACGCTCCTTTCCTATTCCTTTCCTGCTATGGATTTTCTTATTCTTCTAGCAGACAGGAATTGTCTAGTATTCCTAGTAAATCTTCACTTGCCCAACTTCCTGTTTCAGCATGCTATATTCTTCAAGAGTCTGAATATCACAACCTTGTAAAATTTCTATCTCATCCCTATTTGGTATAAAAAGAGAAAGCAGGGCAGAGGATATACAGCAAAATTTTAGAAGATCTATCTGGAAAGAATGGTCTATAAAATGGCATTAATATTTAGACTTCAAAGTAGATTTGCTAGTCTCTGCTTGAGAACTTTTCTCCCCCTTTCCTACTCCCTATAATCCTAGCATCAATTTCATGTGGGAAGTGGCTCCAGCATCACCTCCTATGGACTCCCACAGTCTGTCTTACTAAACACTAGGCTTCAGGACTGCTATGTTATCTCTTTAGCTCTCACCAACACCTAGATGGCTAGAATGCATGCAAAGCACAACAGCCAGGCCCCAACACTGGGTTCCCTGGCTTGCTGGGAAGTGGTAAAGAGTCCATTAATCACCAGTTCATTCTCCCTGGTTAAACTTGCGCTCAGACGGCAGCTGAAGGATAAATGATGCTCAGTACCTTCCAGGTTTGGAGAAGCAAAATCCTTTAAGAGATTAAAGCCCACAGACAATTCAACAACAAAAGCCACTCAGCTGGCTGGGATAAGAAGCTCCATCAAATTCAAGAGCAGGCGGCCAGTGGGGCAGCTGCCAGGTTCACCCGGGCACATGAGGCCAGCAGGAAGCATCAGAAAGGTAGACAGACAATGGAGTTGTGGAGTTTGTATGGTGGACAGAAAGAGGGAAAAGGTAAAGCTAGAGAGCACTCAACATTTAAGTGAAGGAAATCCTGAAGTTAAGATAGTGCTGGGTGGGACTGGGTGGATCTTGCTGCTAGAGCGCAAAGTACCTGATCCGGAGTCATGCAATTGTATTTTAAAGAAGGATGAAAGGGCTTCATAAACACAAACAAAAGGAACTTGACAGAGAAGGAAATTAAGGGTGATAAACAAGGCCAAGCTATGGTTAGTGCGTACACATATACATGTCTGAGGTAAACTGTAATTTCCACAGAGAGAGCTAGCTTGGTAGATCTGAACTCTACCCTTCATTCCATAAGGGCCTGCAGAATGCCTTGGAGTTAGGCTGTCAAGAGTTTAAATGCCAACTCTGACCATAACTGAGGATCACCTTGGGCTTAATCTGTGTCTTGATTTTATCAACAACAGCCCTTCCCTCAGGTTTCACGGAGATTAAATGAGTTGCTACATGCAAAGGACTTTTGAACAGACTCTGGCACCAAGTAAATAATTAGGATCCTGACTGGCATTGAGCAGATGACAGCTGTGGTTAACAACCTGCTAGCTGTGTGGGCTTGGACAAACCAATTTCCCTGCCTTTACAGCTGTCTCCTGCTGACCTTACTGGTTTATAGAGAACACACATAGTAGTATATATAAAGGAATTCACAAAACTAGAACATGCTAGACAAATGCTGGTTGTTGCTATAACTAAGACTTTGAGACACAAATCCCAGATAATTATTCTGAGCTCCCTTCTCAAGTTTTAGCTTTGACTTCTCTGCTTTCTTCCTGGCTAGAGCAAAGAAAGTTCAAAGGAGAAAAAAGTAATAGCCAGCCAAGATCTTGAGGACAGATATGCCAAACATGTGGCTGCCACCCAAGCACTAGCCTGGAACAGTGGGTTCACAGCCTGGAAGGGCCAAGCATCACTTCCTGAAACCCAAAAGAGACAGCAGCTGTCAGAGGACACCCTAACCGTCCACGGCCTCCCCACAGAGGACTACCGGGCTCTACCGTGCTATGGTGGAACCAATGCTATGGAACCATCCAGGAACCCCTAAGAGGTACAACTTGGAGCTGCGCAAGGCCATCAAACAAAGGCTCTGGGAAGCTCTGCACAGTCAAGCTGCCACCCTCAAAGGTGCTTGGGACTGCCAGCCAGGTGGGAAGTGGCTGGGTGAGGAGCCTGAGTCCAAGAAAGCCCAAATTAAAGTGAAAAGTAAGGAACACATGACTTTAGGCTATTCTCTGCTAGATGTCTGAAAATTACTACTTTGTACCTTCCATGAAACCTCAGAGTGCTTTTCAAAATAGTGATTACCCTCCTGGGAAAATAAAACAGCTATCAGATTTGTTTGACTGAAGTCTCTTTCCAGCTATGGATTGGTAATTTGTACACGGCAAAGAGATAGGGTCTCACCATGTTGCCCAGACTGGTTTCCGTGATCTTCTTGCCTCAGCCTCCTGAGTAGCTGGGACACAGGCTTGTACCACCATGCCTGGCACATGATTAGGTAATTTTGAGCTAGATGCTTGGGGGCTTTTTCTTATAAGGATGTGAGGATTTCTAGTTTTCAGGTAGGAAAAGCTCTGAAAGATGAGGCCAATGGTTTATATACAACACATCTCCCTATTTCAAGAAAGTGGACCACCAGGTTTTTCTCATTTTTAGAGCAGGGTCTTACTAAACTGCACAGGCTGGTCTTGAACTTGAGATCCTCCTGTCTCAGCTTCTCAAGTACTAATTATAGATAGGTGTGTCATTGCCCCAGCAGAGCTCTTGACCATTTACTACTACTGCACTACTTCCCCTAGCTTCCTACATATGCACTAAGCAGAGCTGGCTGTGGTGGCTCATGCCTCTAATCCTGGAAGTCTGAGGCAGGAGACTCACTGTGAGTTTGAGGCCAACCTGGCCTATACAGTGAGTTCAAGCCCAGCCTGGAATACAAAGCAAGAGCCTATATCAGAAAACAAAAACAAAGAACCCCATCAAACAAATACCTTAAGAAAACATGCACAGAGCAAAAAGTCTACCATCATCTCAAGGACTTAAACCTCTAGTATCCAGCATTGGTTAGATGAAGTGGCACATGCCTGTAATCTCAGCACTGAGAGGCCGAGGCAGGAGCACATACATTTCAAGGTTAGCCTGGGCAACTTCAGAGACTTAGTACTGATAAAAACAAAACAAAGTAAAACGGAGAAAGGGTGGTGATGGGGATGTAGCTCAGTACAAAGGCCTAGAGTTCAATCCCCAGTGCTGAAAACAAAAACAAAAACAAAAAAAACCCCACTGGTCCATATAAACCTCTTCCTTGTAGAATCTGAAGACCTTGACAAAACAGAACAATGACAACATAGTATAACACATACTTGATAAAATTGTATTTTCTTTACAGTCATTTATACAATTTGTTACAAAACCATAGAAGACTACAACTTGTTTTAAATCATTTTTGGTCTGCAAGTATGTAAAATCTGTGTGCAATTATCATGTATTTACAGGGCCTTGTGTTAGTCATTTTCAATGATTATTCCAACAATGTCACACTCTCAACATAAGACATGGCTTAAGATAAATATATTAGTAAATAAATATTCTGAGAACATATTTCCATAAATGAAATGTGCTGCTATACATATACAGAATATACATAAGTTGTTTTCTAGCTTTTAAAACATTTTTTTAAAAAATGGTAATATTGGAAAAGGAGCCCTTAGACCATTTTATTACAAAATCTTTACAGCAAAGTCTTTATAAAATATTTAAGTGCTATGGGAGAAATTTTTTTAAAAATTAAATAGTGCCTTGTTAAACCAACACGAGAGTTTATACAAACAATAGAAAAAGGCAACTCAGTTAAGAAGACAATACTCTTGATAATTATTTTTTAGATCTCATTTTGAAAGCATGAACTTTGAGTAGGGACCAGAAGCATACAGGAGAGGGTCTGAGCAGTGGGACGGGGAGGGAACTTAATAAAGTAGCTTGGGCAGAAGGTAAGGCCAGTTTGCTGGGTCTGTGTCCACAGAGGTACCTTAGCTGTGCCACATCACACTGGTTCTAGAACTCTTCAGTTTACATGGCTGGACATGTGAACATCCAGGACAAAAAGGGCACAAGACTATACCCTACTGTCACATCCCAACTTAGAGGATGGAGTGGTTCCCAGTGGAAAGTGAGATGCTGTTTCCCTGGCTATACAACTACCACACATCACAAAGGTGCTTGTCACCATAATTGGAGCCTTTGAACTTCAAAGACAGTTCATTTGATTAAAAGTGATGTTAATAAGGTAGTTGGTTATTTTACTCTGGTGACCTTTCTGTTTGATGAGTCAATTCAAAATTGAAAGATGGTGTTGATTTTTAAATTTTCATTTTTGTTTCTTCCATTTATAAAGTACAAAAATTAAATGTGCTTATTGTTGTCCATGGTTATCAACTGTTCAAATTAAGACAGATGTATTTAATATTTTAGTAAGTTTATTGGTAGCTAAATTTTCTCATCTACTTACTGCTTAAGGCTACTCAGGGGTGGTTTTCTAGCTATGGCTAAAGAAAGCTGCTTTGGGAGTAGGGTTTCAGAAAAGGAAGATAATATGCACTCAAAGGCATTAAAAACAAAAAAGCAAAACCACAAATGACAAAAAAAAAAAAAAAATTCAACAATGAGAAGCTGCTTTTTGCAGTTCGTGTTAAAAGTCACAACCCACCCCTTCCCTAAAACCATGTAATGCAAGCTGTTGTTCTTAGCAGCTGCTACTCCTGGCCCCAGAAATAAAGGCGGCCCTGATCCCATGTCAGCAGCTTAGGAGGTTCTCACACCCTCATCAACAGGTGTGCTGGGCACAGCCCAGGAGAGCAGCCCCCAAGGGAGTGTACCCCAGAGACTGGAGGATAATTCTCATCCCTCTGAGTTCCTAAATGGCAAAAGGCTTGATCAACAACAGCATGTTGGGATTTCTGTCAAATTCTGGGTAGAAATAATTTCCTCATAATAGGTTGGGGTCTTGAAAATATTCCAACATAATGAGACTTTTACTCAAAATGTTCCAGTATAGACCCTGGGCTGAGTTCCTGAGTGGAGTTAATGTCTCCTGAGACTCCCTATCCCCACCTATAGAAGCCAGGTCCCAAGATTCCTATTCTCATTCATTCTCTCTCTCTCTCTCTCTCTCTCTCTCCCCCCCCCCCCCCCCCTTTTGGGACAGTCTCCCTGTGCAGTTCAGGTTGGCCTTGAGCTCACATAGTAGCTGGTCTTGAATTGACAATGATCCTCCTGCCTCAGCCTCCCAAGTACTGGAATTCCAAAGTTCCTATTTTCAAATGAGCTTTTAGATATTCAATGAGCCATATTCTTTCAGATGGCAACAACTATCTGCTAAATGAAAAAAAAAAAAGTAATCAGAAAAGTTAGTGAATATAAGGGGCTAATGTGACTACTTTCCTCTGGGGGTGGGGGAAGAACTACATTGGACAAAAAGAATGACAATCCCTGATCTGAAGTAGTTTTAAATAGTCTCTCCCTTTTAAAAATGAAACATCTCTTTTTTAAAAAAATGGTTTGGGTTTTTAAAAACTCTCCCTGCCCCTTAAAAAAACAAAGGCTGGAAAAATATACAAAACCCTACCCTTTGGGTCTAAGCTACCTGATAGTCTGTCTCATGGAGAATCAATATATAATAGTGCATTAGGTAGACAGATAGTAGACATTTGCAGACAAGATGAGCAATTTCAGCCATGAGGCAGAGGGCTGAATAACCCTGAAGTGGGGTTTCCGTGGGGAAATGGCATGGTAAAAGTGTCACCGAAAGGAAGCTCAGGGTACCCCTTCCCCATGGGTTCTGAACACCTACCCCAAGGAAGGCAGCCAGAGGAAACACCAGCTCAAGATGCTTGGCTTCTCCCTCCACACAGCACATGCACAGGGGTGCCCTTCTCCAAAGGGCAGTGTGTTGAAGGGTACTCAGAGCAATCTCCCTCACCCGACCAGACACCAAGGCCAAAAACGGTATTCCTTCTGGGTGTTTGCCCACACTCCATCTAATCACTTCTGCAGCCAATGGCAGGAAGCCCAAAATATATTTCCAAAGGAATCCAAAGTCAAGAACACAGAGGCAGAGCTTCCTCTTCTCTGCCCTGGCAGTTACAGCCCAGGTAAAGGACTTCAAGGACACTGCCCTTATGATCTGGGCCTCTGCCAAGGTAAGAACTGTGAGCTCTTGTTTGGGATGACCCAAAGGGACATGGAGGATATTGAGCAGAACCATCCTTGTCATCCTGAGGCTTGTGCAGTAATGGTTTGACCCAGCTCCCTAGTGCTGCTGACTCTCTGGCCTATTTCTAGCCACTTTCATCACCTTTGTAAAGGTATAGGCTGGAGAGGCATGGCTTCCAAGAAAACCTGACATTTTGTACATTTGGATTTCCCATGAGAAAGAAAGAGGCAGCTTTGCATTGTTCCTCAGAGTCTGTACCCATATTAATTAGCTTTACTTCAAGTTTCTGGTTCATTTTCTAAGGCAGGTGTAGCCCTGAGCTTTTCAAAGGCCTGAGCTCCCTTCAGGGAGACAACAGTATCTACACATGATGTGGTTCATTTAATGCAGCAGTGATTTTTTTTTTTTTCAGCAAAATTGGTGGTTAAGGTACTTTAAAATATATATTTAAATAACTTTACATTTACATATAATATCTTTTAAAAAAAAGAAACAAAGCAGAGAACTCAATCCCACACACCTTGTAACCCCAAGCATACACTTTACAAAACAGAAGAATAACATGTTATCAAAAGAGTTGAAGGACTCAGAATTTTGTCTGTTGGTTTGTTAATGGGAAAGGAGGCTTTTGCCACAGGTGGCTCACATTTTGGGTTGAAAGGAGGGCTCTCTTTATTACCACTTTTGTGTGTTTGTCAAAGCTAAAAATTTTTTTTCTTTTTCTTTTTTTTTTGAAGGAAGTCAGAGTCCAACAGTTCCCAACTTTCATTAAGAGTTCCTTCTGAGCTCAGGCTCCCATGCCGCTGCCTTCTGCTGGGCAAGATGCTGGTCCTGGGAGACAGAGGGAGAACAGTCATCAGGGGAGGGAATTGGTACTGCAGGCCTCAGGCACAAGGCACAAGGACTAGACAAGGGATTCTAGTGCCCTGTTCTCTGCGTCCGTTGGCAGGCCCTCAGAAAGTGATAGCTCACAATGGGGGGTGGACTATGTCCATGATCAAGGGCTGACAGGCCCTTTTCCAAAAGGGGCTCAATCTATTCTAATACGAGGCCAGCCCCCCTCATCTGGATATGCAGAACTTTCTGGAAGTCCTTAAGAGGCGTGAACCACAGCATACAAAAGATGATCTCAAGTGAGTGTTCAGAGTGTGCCAGGCACAGCTGCAGGTGCTGCAAACAGCAAGGAAGGTCCCCCTCACAGAGCATACAGATCTCCCACAAAGTCACCTCAGTGAAGGACACTGGCTGGGGGTCAAGGGTCACTCATATTGAAGACTGAACTAAAGGAGAACTAGGATGAGCTTGGCATCTTGGTGGAGAGAGGCCACAGGGGGTTAAAGTAAGCAAAGAGCAGAAGTGGCATAGGCTGGATGGGTAGGCAGGGCTCAGATCGCAGAGAGCTGGGTGAGGAGTTTGTTTTTCTGTTTGTTTTTGAGACAGGGTCTCCCTATGTATTTCAGATTGGTCTTGAGCTCACTACACAGCCCAGGGTATCCTTGAAATAACAACAAACCTCTTACCTCAGCCTCCTAAATACTGAGATTACTGCATGCAACACCACACATGGTGTTTAGTTCACATTTTAAACATTCTAGATAATAAGTCATTAAAGAGTTTTCTAGTGTAAAGACATCAACTTTTGTTTTTGAAAAAGGCCACTCTGCCTCCCAAGAGGAAGAGAAGGTAAGCCCTGTAACAGGAGACTACTTCTGCCTTTGCCTGGAGAGGAATAGGCTAGAATGAGATTATGGTGGGGTCTGCAGGAAAGTTGATATATTTGAGATGTCCATCAGGATGAATGCTGCTATGGACATGACAGGGTAGGATGTCTGTGAGGCTTGCTTAGCAGAGACTGAAAGATCATGGAAACAGGCTCAGTTGATACGAAATGCAGAGGAAGAATGAAGCAAGGGAATGACATACATTATCAGGTACAGATACTGTTTAAGACCAAGGGCACGGAGGAAGAAAAGGACTGAGAAGGGCCTTCCCATAGAAATGTCTGCTCTTACCTGCAGCCTCAGCACCTGGGGCGTTGGACTCCTGAGTGTCCTGGGGGTCACTGGGGAGGCTGGCCCTGGTGGCACCTGCCACCGCTGGAGGACAACCAGACTGCAGTGGCACATCAGCCTGGTAGCACGGAGCCTGCTCCTCTTCTTGGGCTGTTCCCAAGCCCCTGTGGGGCCGCAGAACATCCAGGCCAAGCATCCCACCCCAGGGGCTGAGGCTCTGAGTCCCCTGGCAGTTTAGGGGTAGGCCCAAGTCACAGTCTACATCCTCTGGAATGATGGGGATGCGCTGGCTTAGGTCCTGGGCCCCTGGGTAGCAGCTGGGTGGGGGCTCCTCAGCAAGTGTGTACTGCACGGTCACTGAGTAATCCTCAGAATAGCAGCCGCTGCCCGCTCCACCACTATGGGCCACTTGTTTCTCTTCATAGAAGCAGCAAGGCAGGCCCTCGTATTTTGCCCCATCTATCCTGGGCAAATGGTCTGGGTGAAGGCCATACAGGCCCTGGGAGCTTCCTGGCTGTAGCTCCCCTCCAGTGTGGCTGCAGCCCTCATGAAGGGGCGCACTCAGGAACAAGGTACTGCCACTGCCAGCTGCCCCTGCTCCAGGGCCCAGTGCAAAGGGCGGAGGCTCACAGCAGCAGACACACGATGGCCCCTCTCGGCCCCCCTTCCAGGTCCTCCTGAGGTTCAGGGCAGCCCTGGGAGAAGCCTCAAGCCCCACGTCTGAGGTAGAGCTAGTAGGCCCCCTGTGCTCCAGGGAGGAGTTACTGCTGTAGTTCATCTCCAGGCTACAGGTGGACAACTGGTCCCCTGAGGGAGAGGCAGGGCCTGGCCATGGCTCTCCCTTTCCAGCACCATGACTATGTGCTACTAGGAGCTCCTCAGGTGGTAGGGAGCCCTCAAGGCACATGGCAGGCCCTCGGTTTGAGTTGCCTGAAGCCCCCGTCTCACTGGCATGACAGGGACTCCGGCTGCGATAGATAAAGGGGTCATAGTCACTGCTGAGAGAGCTGCGGAAAGTGGAGCAGCTCCCATATACACCCTGGTTGCTGACCTCAGTGCAGTCCACCACAGAGTCACTGGAGGAACAGTGGCACTGGCCAGAGCTACTGCTGCTGTCACTACCTGGGCAGTCAGCCAGGTAGCCACTACACATGGAGCGGTGGCCATGATAACAGCTGAAGCTGGACATGCTGCCACTCTCCAGGTGGGAGGGTGGGGCCATGTGCACCACAGTGGGGAAGAGAAGGCTGCCCCCACTGGATGGGAAGGCACGGGATGGGCCCCTGGGCGGGAGACTAGGTGGGGGCTGTCCCTCCTGCTCCGGGTAGCTGAGGCCCTGGAAGTAGTAGTGCTGATACATGGTCTCATACTGGGAGAAGCAAGCTGCCTTGGAGAAGCTGCGGCTGCTGAACTTGGGCCTGCGGAAGGGGTGGGCTGGTGAGTATGCTCGGTGCTCCAGGCCGCAGTGGTGAGTAGCCAAGGTGTGGTCCAGGTGGAGGGGTGGGTAGCCACTAATGTAGGTGGGGGTCTGTGGAGAATAGAGGCCCTGTTCCCCATGCTGGTCCATGGATAGCAGCGTAACAGGGTTCCCATGGGAATCCATGCTTGTCCTTGTGGGGTAGGCTGGGATGGCGTTGGTCCTGTGCACACGACCAGGATAATGTACTGGCAAGGTCACTCTTTGCTGCCGACCACGTGCAAGGTTGCTTGTCTCCACACACACAGCACCTGGGCTTCCCTTTTGTTCTGGGGAGAGGTAGAAGAAACAAGGTAAACAAGACTAAGCTTACTGTTGCTAAGGTATGGAGGCATGAAAAATGGCCATATGCCAGGGTGCCTATTCTTACCACCCTACCACATTCTAAGCTGTCACCAAGGTCAGTTAGGCTGGCAGGAGGACAACCTGCCTCTCTATGAAAAGTGGTCACTTCCGTGAGAGCCCATTTCCCACTTGTCCACCACTCTGGCTGTCAAGGGTACTAAGAAAGAGACAAAGATGACAGTGCTTCCCGCCCTGCTCCATAACAGAGGGGCAGTATCTCGCATGGGTCACAGTATATTCATCATCTCTTATGGCTCCTGGGAACAACAAGCCTGTGATCTGTCATTGTTATTGTCATCCCACAAATGAGACTAGAGGCTTTAGGCATGGAGAGGCAAGGAAGGATTACCTTCTTGTTTAATGTGAAGCCTGAACTTGAGGCTTTTTTTTTTTTTTTTTTTTTTTTTTGGGGGGGGGTAAAGAGAAAAACCCTAGCCCTCAAAAAAAAAAAAAAAAAAAAAAAAAAAAAAGCAGCAGCAGCAGCAGCAACCAAGGCCATGAGTATGCTTAACGTATATTTCTATCTCTGAACTACACTCCAAGGCCCTTCAGAGTGATTCTGAATGTCAGGCTTCTCACAGTGCTGTGCAGCCAGCCTCCATGGCTATCGTGCCTTCAAGACCAGGAGGAAATGCTATAGTCGTTTTGCAAGCTCCCAAGGCCATGGCCTGTGCTACATTCTTGCTGGGTACTTTGTAGAGACAATGATATCTGATGTGACTCTTCAGCAATGAGTAAGACAAGTGACAATTACCTATGATGTTGTGCCGACAGTGGGGGCAGGTATGGTGCTGCAGCAGCCATGGATCCACGCATTTCCTGTGGAACCGGTGAGTACAGGGGATAACTCGAAGCTCCTTGGGAAAGGAAGAGAGGATAGAGTCTGAGGAGAGGGCACAGGTCAGGGCAGGGCAGTTCTGCCTCCAGCCCCCTACCTGCTACCCCCTGCAGGGCCTAACATGTACTGCAGAGCCCTGCTCACTGTGCTGGTGGCTTCCTATTACAGTTGGATCTTAAGTATCCCTCAAAGCCCATGTGTTAAAAGCTTGGTACCCAGCTTGGCATTTTGGAGAGGTCACTGGAAGTGTGCCCTTGAGGAACGTTGGGGGCTCCAGGTTCCTCTTTCCCTTTTCCATGATATGGCTGTGAAGTAAGAGGCTTTCTTTACCATGTGCTCCTGCCATAATGTGCTACCTCACCACAGGCCCAAAGCAACAGGGCCAATTGATCAGCGTCTGAAACCTCAAACTGTAAGCCAAAATAAACCTTTTCTAAGTTATTTCAGGTACTTGTTACAGTAATAGAAAGCTGACAAACATACTTCCCACTCTCTTCCCCACCTCCAGTTATAGGTCAACTCCATTTTATGAGGCAGGGCCCACAGACAGGTGCTATAGAGAAGGAAACTGTCCATCATAGCCCTCCATGTTACAGGAGTGGAGCACATGCAGCTCCCTTTGAGGGACTTGGAGAGCATACACATTCATTCCTGTCTTCGTATAGCAAAGACTAAAGGCTAATGCTAATGAGGCTATGAAGCCTGGGGGCTGTGAACAGAGAAAGCTAGGAACATCCCAAGATATTATGCGGGTTGCGAAGTTTCCGGTGGGATGAGGGTTTGTCTCCAAAATGTGCTAATGGAGACAAGTGGTAAAAAAGACGCCTGGCACTTGTGATTGACAGGGTAAGAGGCAAAAGGGTAAATTCTCCAGTTTCTCTGTCACTGGACCCTACACAGAGAATGCAATGGATTTTTTCTAGTGCAGAACCCCATATGGAGTTCTCAAACCTAAGCAAATTTCTTTATTTTACTTTTTTCATTTTCTGTGGCCTTTTTTTTTTGGGTACAGGAATTTGAACACAGGATCTTGAGCTTGTCAGGCAGGCATGTATGCTGCTGAGCTATCTCCCCAGTCCAGTCTTTTCATTTTCTGATCAATCTGACACAGTAACACTCAAATTAATATCTGACACTGTGCCTCGTCGGGTACTAAAGAGATCTACCTATATTTTCTCACATAATAGTCAGTGTCAAGCCCATATCACAAATGTAGACACAGAGAATAAAGTCACCTTTCCAAGTTCACAAAGTTAAAAGACTTCACCTGAGCAAGGGTTAGAGCTGAGGCAGTCTACCCCACAGCTCATGCAAGAATCTATTATTTCAAAAGCTTCTGTACAAATTTATTTTCATTCAACCATTTAAAAAGCAGTGGAATAGCTTTATCAAAGGTGCATCAAATGCCTGAAATTCTCAAGTGGTTTGCTTTTTGATTCCCTAAACTGTATGTACAGATGCATCCATTCGAACAGAGATCAAGCAGAGTTAGCACTCAAAATGTTGCCAACAAGTGATTCTGGTGAACAATCTGTGCTGTTCATGGTCCTGTTCTTTTGTTTTGTTTTCTGAGACAGGGTCTTTCATGAAGTTCAGGCTGACCTTGAACTCACTATGTATCCCGGGCTGGCCTTGAACTCATGGCAATCTTTCTGTCTCAACCTCTCCCGAGTGCTGAGATTATAGGCATGAGCCACCATGCTGGGCTCTCATGGTTCTATTCTTGCAATTTTTCTGAATGACTGAAACTTTCAAAATAAAAGAATATGGGGGACATCAAATTCCTTGTCTCTTTGCAAGTAAAATATACCAATTAATATAGTCTTCTTTTTTGGGGGGGTTTACTGGGGCTCAAACTTGGGACCCTGTGCTGGCCAGGCAGGCACTTATGCCACTGAGCTATCACCCCAGCCCTAGAGTTTTCAAAAGAACTATTCAAAAATAGTCAACAAATGTGAATGTTCTTAAACCCAGACTTTTTCCATTCAACTTTTGAAGTCACCTACATTCAGTGTAGTCCTCTAGAAAGTGTTATGGCCCCCACCCTAATCCCAGGAGAAACAGTGAGAACATTTCAGGCCATCCATTCTCATATGCTCCTGTCCTGTTCGCTGCTGTAAGGCTATAGGAAAAGACTGTGGTCCTCGGTGCTTCTTGTTGGTCTGTCTACCTCCTCCCCGCCCACTACTGGCCCTGCCTTTGCCACTACCTCTCCATCAGTGTACTTCTCCAGGCAGATGGCACAGTCAGATGTGGAGCTGCTGCTGAGGGTATCCAGGGCCCCACAGCTCCCCTCTCGGCGCCCCTTGGTCTTAGAGTTGAACTTCCTGGTTTCCATCTTCTCTAAAGCCTGCACAGCCAGCCTGTTCATGGAATTCTGCATGGCAGAACATGGTCAGTGTTAGAGTCTGGCACACATTAGCAGTAGTGGTCAACCCCAGTGCTATGACACTTGACGTGCTAGGACAAACACTAGGCTTCATCCAGCCAGAAGAGATTTCTGAGCATCACTCTGAGATATCAGATTGCCATAGCACACATTTTCCAGACTCCTGAAGGGCCCATGACACCAGCCCAGGTTTTCCCCAAGTGGTCTAGCTTTTAAAGTGAAGCCAGGAAATTTCCTTCAATTTCTTAACTACACTGCTTCCCAAAGGTTCATCCTAGATGTTGAAAGAAGCTGTGAGGGTAAATGAAACAATGCATGCGACCTTGGCCTCAGGCACACCTGACGTAGTGGATAAACATCAACCCCTGATCTGCAGGGTGGCCCTTCAAGCCTCATGAGAATGTAAACAATTCTCTTCTTTAAAGACCACTAGCATCTCTCTCCTGAGATGTCTCAATACCATGCATCTCAGACGGAGTTCTGCTTCCTGTTTCATCCTTCTCGCTATACTCTGCTCCCCAAACTTTCTTCTAAGCACACAATGATGTGCTGGTTGGGGCACTACTGTGGTTACTTATTTGTCCAGAATCACTGAGAGGGCTTAGCAGATTCAGACTGGATTTAGCAGGTTGGTGCAGGGCCCAAGACTGCATCTCTACCAGGCTCCCAAGTGCTGCTGATGCCCTGGGCTATCTGAGAAGCAATGCAATGGGGTCTCCTGGAACATTTATTTAAACATTTCTTCTGATAAAGCATCTACAATGGAGGGCCTTTATAGGCCTGCCTTTTGGAACACTGAAGGCTGTACAAGACCAGTCGGGCACTCAGACCCTCAAATGGTGGCCTGACCACAACCCTGACTCTCACCAGCAACGGGGCAACCAGGTCAACATTCTGGAGCTGCTTTACCTGACGTCGCTGATTCAGCTTGATTCTGACAAGGAAGATGAGGGAAGCTAAGGAGACAAGCACAAAGAAAGCCAGGAACATGCCCATGTCGAAGTATTCGATGGGTTGCTGGAACAGAACAGAAACACAATCTCAGCCACTCTTCATCCTGGTAATTGGCACACATGGGCTGCTGGGCCTTCTTGGGACTAGGGCTGGTGGAGCCGGGCAACAGTCCCCTCAGTGTGTAAGAAAGTACTAGGGCTCAGTTCAAAAAAAAAAGCATGTTCTCTGGTCCCAGGGAGTACTCTGGTCTGGCTGGGGTTGGCCTACAGTGCTTTCTGCCAGACTGCCCAACAGTCAAGGGGACCTGGACATTGGGCTTGTGGTGCATTTTATAATCTCAGCGCTCAGGAGGCTGAAGCAGGAGACTGCTGTGAGTTTTGAGGCTAGCCTGGGCTACATATGGAATCCAATGCTAGCTTGAACTGCATAGTGAGACCTGTCTCAAAAAACAAAAAACAAAACAGCCTGGGCCTCCATGGGCTATAGCACAAAGTTTGTTGTAACCACTATAAAAGGCCTTTCCAAACAAACACAAATAATCACATTTATGGGACAAAGGAGTGTCATGTTTTAAGGGAACAGTGATTACTAACCATGTAATTAACTGTTTACAGCGACTCAGAAAATTGTATGCTGCTTCCACAAAAACAGCTTCCACTACAATGAATCATATTTACCAAAGAGGTTTTTCTTCCTTTAAAGAGCCCAGCAAGTCGATTCTGCAACCCCCCCGCTGCAGCTTTAGTTCTTGCCTTTTCCCTCACAGCACACTAGCACACTGCCTCCTACAGCCTGAAGCTGTCTCACCAAGGACATGCATGTAGTCAGTAGGAACAGAGCTTTACAAACAAGTTGCTCTACATATTCAGATACTTAGCACATGTGTAAGAACCATTCTACATGTAAATTTTCCATTATTTGGGAGGAGGAAACAACTCTAGGAACATGGGGTACCAACTCCATATTCCTAGAATCCTCCAACTTGAGGTTAGGATTGGAGATGACAGGCAAGTGTTAATGACCAGCAGCGTCCCTTCAGCACACTGAAGAGAAGTCCAAGAACTGTTGGTCAGCCATGAAAGTTAATCCCAGTTGAAAGCTAACTTTTCCTATGAGCTGGGAAGTCTTGATAAAATAATCTTCCCTCTAGGAAGGAATACAGGCCTTTTCTCTAGTGCTTAGGTCAAATGGAAAGCTGGGCACAGTAAGCCAAATGCTGAGTCCATTTCTCCTCAGTATGCCTGACCCTCGGGGAAGACAGGATAGGAGGAGGACAAACGAGAGGTTACCAACTAGAATGCCAGGTGGGAGAGACCATAGACTGACTTTTTAAGCCCAAAGCATCTATTTCTGGTATGTCTGTTTTCAAATCCCCTATAAAGGAATATAGGTGAAATTTCTTCCTAGTTTCTGCCCTGTAGGAGAACACAACCTGTAGGAACCAAGGGTAGACTGGCATTTTATTTTATTTTGTAATATATGTACATATATATATTTTGGTACTAGGAATTAAATTCAGGATCTTGCACTTGACAGGCAGGCACTGTGCCACTGAACTATATCCCTGGTCCACACTGGCATTTTAGATAGAAAGCCCAAAGCCTAAAGGAAACAGGCACAAATAGTAGCAGGGAAACTTCTGGGCCTGGGCTGGCTAGCTAGAGCACTCACTCGAGGAGGGCGGTGCTGGATCCTTGCTCGAGCCACTTTCTGTTTGTTGACAATGTTCATCAACTTGATGGCATCTGTACCCTTCACATATACCACTGGTCTCTTAAGTGGATCTTCTGAGCCTTGGTTTAGCTGAAGAAAAGAGAGCTCTGGTTAAAAGATGAGAGAGAGAGAGAGAGAGAGAGAGAGAGAGAGAGAGAGAGAGAGAGAGAGCGAGCGCGCGCGCAAGTGAGCGAGCGAGTGAGAGAAAGAGACAGAGAGAGAGAAAGTGGGGGAAGGCAAGAAAAAGAAAAGCGTTGAAGGGAAAGAACATCAAATTCTTGTCTAAAAATCTTTGAAGCCTGGGGGTTCCTAGAAGAGCAAAACTTACTATAAGATAGGCTGGGCAGGCTGCCATCCCAAAAGAGTATTTGAAAATGTCCCCCATTCCCAGCTCTCTGGCTCTTAACCACCCTCAGTACAGCATCCTTGGGTATGATGTTCAAATTCAGATCTCTTCAGCAGGCAAGGGGAAAGGCTCCAACATGAGAGTGACATGATTGTGGACAGCCAAGCTAACTAACGGAAGTGACTCTCTCAGGGAGACCGCAGGATTGGTATAGGTTCACCTGGTCAATGGCTTCTGGGTTTTCAGATACATCAAAGATGACTGCAGTAGCTCCCCGCTGCACTGCTCGCTTGGCCTGCAGGAGTGAAAAAGAGCAAGTTGGCAACTTTGATCTTCTCACTTTCCTAATGCTAGCCTTTGAGATCAGGCCTGTAATGCAGATTTTGACAGCAACAAACTGAGGTAACTTTATGCAAGTTACCCAACTTTCCTAAGCCACTACTTTATCATCTGTTAAAAGGGGGATAATACTACCTACCTTATGTGTTATCCAAGATGTAGATGAATTAGAATAAGTAGAAATAGGTAACTGATTACTCAGTAAGTCTTTCTCTTCCTAATCAACCCAAATATTGAAAATTATAGATAAACTAGCTTCCTAGTCAGCAGAGAGATATTAGTTTTAGTATTTTCTGCTATGAACATAGAGCTCCTGGCAACCACAACAAATGCTTTTAGTTCATCTCTTAGGGTTCTTTCTTCCATCCCATGTCATCTAGTGAGAACAGCATGCTGACTATCTCTGAATGAACCTCAAAATGGTCAATTTTAGTAAGTGACACAAGTTGAAGACCTTTGGAGACGCTATGGGTGGGGGAGAACCTATGAGAAATAACTGTAAATGGGGATTTAGAGCACTTGGCTGCCAAACCTGGCTGCACATCAAAAACCACTTGGGAAGTTTGTAAAAGCAGATTTCCTGGCTCAAACCACAGAGACTGATTCAGCAGGCCTGGAGTCAGGCCCAGGAAACTGAGTTCTATAAGCTTTCTAAGGGATTCAAATGATTCAACCACTTGTGGAACTATAGATCAGAGAGATGAGACTAGAAGGTTCAAAAAGGAATGAAAAGTGACAAGGTTTTTCTTTTTAGGGTTGTGGAGCATGGGGAGGATTCCTTTCCTAAGTAACCTTCAATTTCACGTCCAGCTAAGTTAGAAATAAAGTAGAAAGTGTGGAAGAAAAAGCCTTAAGGCAGCCCCTTGCTTTTAGGAGTCTGAATCTTGTTAGGGAAGTGATTTCTCTAAAATATGTAGGAGGAACAAAACCCAACACTGGCATGCTGTGTGCTGGGAGACGATGGCTTAAAGGTCAACCGAAAACTGTGAAACAAAAAAACAAAACAAAACAAAACACTGTGAGTCCATGTGCTTAAAAATAAAATCTGATTTCTTTCCACAGGAATTGTCACTTTATTGATTGAGAAAGTACAGCGGTCTTGAACCTGGCTAGACCAATAATTATCCTTGCCCACTAGAGGGCAGGCTCAGCCCACAGCTTTTAAGCAGCTCTCTGGCACTTGGTACCAAATGCACAGGACCAACCAAAATACCAGCTTCAGTGACGGCATGCATCTTAGTTTAAGAAAGCTTTGACACCTGGGTGCTATGCTCAAGAATCTGTCCTTGTACAGCAGGCTCTCACTGATATTGGATGTATTCAAAGCTTCTGCCGATGATGCTGCCCCACTGTTTTCGCTCACAGTCGAGTCTGAGTAAGTTAGCTTTCAACTGGGATTGATTTTCACAGCTGACCAACAGTTCTTGGGCTTCTCCTCAGTGTGCTGAAGGGATGCTGCTGACCATTAACACTTGCCTGTCATCTCCAATCCAAACCTCAAGTTGAAGGATTCTAGGAACATGGGAGTTGTTACCCCATGTTCCTAGAGTTGCTTCCTCCTGCCAAATAGTAGAATAGTCACATGTAGAATGGATCTTTTACATGTGCTAAGTATCTGAATACACAGAGTATTAGCAAAGTTAATTAGCAAAGATCTGTTCCTACTGACTAAATGCACAGGGGCTATTCCTGGACAAGTTACTGAATTTCTTTCTTCATCTTTGCCTCAGTCTCTTCAGCTACAAAAGAGTACCTATGGCACAATGACTGTCCCTTCCACTTCCAAGTCTTTGCAGTTCAACTGGGAATCCAGAGTACTCAGAACTGGAATGGACCTGTCACTTCCCTCTGGCACAGGAACATTGGTGGCACAGTTGAGAAAGAGGCAAGGTGACATTGCTTTCCTCCTCCCTTAAGATGTTTCGCTTTGTGTTTTCTAAGGCAGGATCTGGTACATAGCCCAAATTGGCCTCAAGCTCTCAGCAATTCCCCTGCCTCAGTCTCCCGAGTGGTAGGATTATAGATGTGTACCATCATACCCAGCACCTCCCTTAAAATCTTCAGGCCCACAGACCTCTCTCGGCTTTGATCAATAGCTCGTGGACTACAGAGGTAACAATGAGTAAGTGCTTAAGTTTTCTGCTCAGGTCTTCACAAATCCTTCCACAGACAAAGAAAGAAAACAGAATTCTCATTCTTCATTTGGCTCAATCTATGATTAAGCATATCAAACAGCAGTTGCAGGGAAATGTGTGTTCAGATGTGTTCAGAGGGGGCACCTCCTGCTTTGATGCTGGTGCATCTGGGGATCTGTTAGCCGGAGGATGAAAGGCTGCACAGGACCTGGGATAAAGACACTTTCCTGGAAATGCACCCCAAGGAATTATGGAGCCAAGTAGCCTCCCTCAGGCTTCCAGGCATCCCTGCTCCCTAAGAATGTGGAAGTCTGAAGAATCTGGAGGCTCCAGATGGGGCATGAGGACTTGGGACAAGCATAGCAGCCTCTTGTTTTGGTGGTAATGGGGTATGAACCCAGGTCTTCATGCATGCTAGGGAGGTATACGCCCACTGAGCTATATCCCAGTCCCCTAAAAGAGGTTTTAAAACAGGTGGAGAATATGTTTAAATCCCATCTGCAGCTTGATTTAGACACACCTCGACCAGGGTAATGTACAGAATCCAAGAACAAATACTGTATTTAAGAAACACTTAATTCTCAGTTTACTTTAAAATTATACTTAATGTAAGCTTCTATTAAAGTAAATTTGTATTTCCTGCACATGCCAGGACTGGATAGGAGGGGAGTTAACCCAGGATCCTAGTAGAAACCTGCCTGTTAAAAACCAGTTTAGGATTTTAAAATAGTTTGTGAATAACCTATATTCAGAAAATGACACCTCTATTATATTATTCCCAAAGCAAATTAAGAAATAAAGAATGCTGGTTACAAACACAGAACAATGTCCCCCTTGCTCCACATTTTCAGTTTGAAAACTTGCTGAAAATTCTATGAACAAATTTTCATAAAAATATAGCGAATGCTGCTGTCAAGTACTATCCAATGGAAAAGCAGGCTCATAAAAACATCACTGAGTGTTCTTACCCAATTTATCCATCAGATCTGGCACCAAGAGACTTCTGGCTCTTCCCCAAAGTCAAAAAGACTATGAAGTAAATTTTTTAAATTGATTTAAAAAAGGACATCAAGGCAGCCACAATAGCACAAGTGAAGACACAAAAGAGGACTTCCAGCGCTGTGTCAAGAAGTGGCAATAATAAAAGTATGTTCAAAATGAAGGGGGATATTCTCAAGGGGGTTAAGTGGCAATGTGTCTTTTACTGTAATAATTTTTTAAAAATTTAAACACTGTGTTTTTAAAAATTACACCTCATACTGGTCATGTAACCACCAGGAAGTATATTTATAGAGTCACACAGTGTCTAAAACTCTCAAATAAAGCTCTTTAAAAGCAAGAATGCAGAGGATGCAACTTGGTGGATGTGGCTAGGAGGTCACTGGTAACTGGGTTACATTCTCACAGGCAGTTATCCCTAAAAGTGTACATAGACCAGAGTAGAAGGAAAAGCAAGAGAAGGTTGTGACGATAGAAAAGAGGTGTGAAGTCTTGACAAAACTCAAGTAGCAGCCAGTCAAAGTCCTTGCCTGGGTGACCTTGGCAGGCCCTTTTCATAAAATTATCTTCATATCCTTTTCAGCTTTGCAGGACAGGGCAGGTAAGACCAGTTTTTGGTATCCAGAAAGAAGCCTGGGGCAGAATGCTGAATTCAAGCTTGTCTTAGTCCTTTATTTATCTTTCCAAGACTGCAAGACCCAAGAGTAGACAATGTCCACAGCCACTAAGACGAGTAACAAAAGAGCAAGCATACTTACAAATGCATTTTGCAAAGCACACTAATGAATCCTTAGTACACAGGGCTAGACTGAGTTGGCTTTTATCGCTCCTTTGGTAATGCAATAAATATTTATTAAAAATGTATAAAGCCAGGAGTGATGGTGATAATGGTAATCCCAGCACTCTGGGCATCTGAGACAAGAGAATCACAAGGCAGTTTAGTGAGACCTTGTCTTAAAAAAAAAACCCAAAAACCTGTTAGGGATGTAGCTTGGGCCAAAAATCTTGGGTTTAAACCCCAACATCATGAAAGAAAGAAAGAAAGAAAGAAAGAAAGAAAGAAAGAAAGAAAGAAAGAAAGAAAGGGAAAAAAGGGAAGCAAAGGAAGGAATGGATGGGAAAGGGAAAGGGAAAGGGGATCTTGTACATGTGCCTCCAGTCATACTTTTTGGTTACTGCCAGTAAAAAGAAAGTGTTTCCTGACCATGGATGTGGTTTTCTTACCAGGAAGTACTTCTATCAATAAGATTAAGCCTGGACAGTCCCAATACAAATGGGGTATTCTAATGAGAATAGTTTCATCACTACTGTAGGTGGTAAAATACAAAACCTAGAGTCTAGCAACAAGGAATTCCACTTAGGAAAGGACCTGACCTCTCTGTTGGGTGCAGTAATAGCCTTCACTTGGGGCTCATACTTACCCAACACCTGTTCCCTGAAGCTTCTGAGACAGACTCTTTTTTTGGTTTATTTCCCTGTCCCCTCATCATGCATGGATACAAAGTCCCCAGTGCCTAACCTTTACTGTAGGAATATGTAGATAGAATATAGTCTTAATAGGAAATAACCTACAAGGCAGCAGAAAATCTCTTTTGTCCCCTATTCCTAATCATAGGACAATCAAGAAAGTATGGATTTTAGAGGTATTTTTTTTTTAAAATAGCAATTCCTTTTTTAAAAAATGTATTTAGCACAGGGTGTACAGGGTCTCACTACATAGATTGGACTCGTAGTGATCCTTCTGTTTTCAGCCTCCCAAGCACTGGGATTGCAGGCTTGAGCCACCATGCCCATGGTCAACCAATGGCTCAGCATGCCCCAG